TGACCGAGATGTGCATAAACAGCATCTGTTTTGGAGTTCGCTTGAGCAGGCCCAAAGTTAGAAGAAACTTGAGCTCAGAATGCTTTTGTGGCATTCAACTGTTCAACCTCAGCAGATAACTTTAGTGACAAAGATGAGAGCAAACCGTTTCCCAGCCGAGCTGCCTGCCTTGCCAGACCTGAGGACCCCAGGCTGGAGCTGTAGGGCAGCCGTGCTGCCAGGCAATCATGGTGGCTGTGCTGCGGCTGTGCCATAGGGCCACTCACATCCGTTGGGGTTGTTTAACTTGTAAAGAAGTAATAAGCTTAATAGGTTGACTTTATTTAATTATTAATGATCCCTTTCTGTCCTTACAGCTCATAAAACACCCTGTAGGTTGGCAAAACACTCATAATATTGATCAGGAGCCAGGGAGATATTTATTTCCTCTTTGCCCCGGTGCACATAAATCGTGGTTCTTTGCCTCCTTCTCTCAGTACGTGGGATTTACAGTGGCCTGCTTCTTGAAAGCTTTCCGTAATTAAGGAATAAATAGCCATCGGTCTTTGTTTGCTGTCTGGAGCCCTCTTGTTTGCCAGGGCCCTACATATCCCTCGTGGGCCCGTGCACCTTCCCCCTTAGCAACGCAGCCTGGGAGAGAAGGCATGCATGCTAGGAAGCAGTCAACTGCTAAGCACTCCCTTTGCAATAGAGTGGGGTCTTCTCCTGCAGAGAGAGGAAGCCCCTGTGTTTTCTCAGCATATTGTTCCCAACTCCTCTTCCATGCCTCTCCTCCCAGTTCCTGCTTTGCTTGGGACAGGAAGACACTGGAAATTCCTTGCTGCTAGCCCTTTCTTCCTGCTTTCTCTTCATCTCCCCTCTTCCCTTTGCAAGTTGCAATTAAAAGCATCATGAACCTTCCCAAACTTTTCAGTTCTTTCCCCCACAAATGTTTCGCTTCCCTTTTACCCATCACAATGCTGCATCGCCAACTCTTACCAAAGTGATGCTGTTTATCAGACATCTGTGGGATCATTGCAAAGGGTTTTCCTTAAATGGCAAGCCCTGCCACAACCAGCCACCCAGCCCTGACAGCAGGGCTGCACCGGTCATTAGGTGATGTATGCTTCTTGCATGCTGGACCACAAAGTTAATGACATACTCTGGGACGCTCCCAGAGTTTGGGAGCTATGGGAGTTAGATTTACTTCATTTTGTTGGAACAGACACATGAACTTTGTCAGCTGTCCAACAGCAGAGAAAATCTGGCAGTTCTCCTGCTGAGCCGGCCAGGTTATTGCCGCGTTAAACGTTGCACTTCAGTAAGCATCCAGAAATGGCAGCACACGAGCATGGCACCCACACAGCACAGACGTTTGGGTGAATGGCAGTAGAGAGAGCATTTAGAGGCCTCCTCTATTGCAGAATAGTTCTTTTTAGTAAGAGAGAAGGAAATATTTAACACTTCTCATCAAGATGGGTGAGCCAGGCACCGCTCTGGACTGAGCTGCACAGGGCCAAGCTCCTAAATGAGCATCTCTGGTGCAAGCTCACAAGCAAAGAGTGAAGAGTAGTCTGAAAGGAAACTGTGCTCTGAGCAAATCTGCCTTTTATATTCTCTCATGCTACCTAGTTAACCCTCCCCCTCACAGTGCCCAGTATTTATGTTTCAAGATAATAATGATGTGATGTGGCTGGCAGAGTAATTTAAATAATTGGACATTATCTTGAGAAGCAAGCACCTAATGAGATGAAAATAAACTGAGAAGTGAAATTTTCATCTGTTTCTAATAACTCTTACCTATGTACAGTATCACTGCTCTATCAGGGCTTTCATTATTCGTACCAGTGATGGAGACTTGGCAGAGCTCAGTGATGGTTTTAGGCCAGGGCTTAGTGAATTGTATTTCTTTCCTGCAGGATGTTTTGCAGTCTTACCCTGTTGTATTTGGCCCTTGTATAGCCAGAAAGTTTGTAAGCTTTTCTCAGAAGTCTGAGTTTGAATGGACAGCTTCAGAAAGAGAAAGCTCAAGCAAAGCCCAATCTGACTTTCATTCTTCTTTCTATAAATTTGTCATCTGTTACTCTGGAGTTCCTCTAATTCACCTGTGCATTTGCATTAAAAAACAGGCAGCTCTCACATTCTCTAGCATTAGGTGTCATAGGTGCCATCCGAGCACCTGATGGTGGTGCTTCTCCAATACACTGACTTTAATCTGATCTTGAAAAAGGGATTCTGCTGAATTTTAGTAGCTCAGTAAGTAAGTGGAGTAGTTTTGTTCTGGCTTATGGATGTCACGTGAAGACAGCTAGAACTGAGACTGTATTTTTGAGGGTGTTGTTTAGAGTGAAAGTTACCAGAATTACAAGAAAAGGAGGAAGATGAGAGAAATATTTACTAGGAGGTGTTTAATCATACATTCCCTTTATTTTTGGAGATTGGTTCAGTATCTGCTGATTAGTTGCTCTTCCTCTCATTTCCTTGTACTCTTATTCAGTTGATTTATTTAAAGGTATGTCAGTGCTGGCTGAAGCGAAACACTGTGCCTCCTCTTCCTTCTTATTGCTGACCGCTCCAATAATTCATTTTTTAGCTCATTAGCTAACAGGGGATGTGAACGGTGGTCCTCCAGGGGACTGGAATGAGGCCAAGTGATCTACTGCTGACAACTCTGCTCTTGGACTGGCCTTCCTATGGGGATATGAAGCCTCAACCAAGGCGGGCTGTGGACCCCAGCAGTGAGATTGTGGCATCAGAGTGCATTTATGTTGTGTTGTCAGGTTCTAAGATGGATGCATGCGGTGGAGCTGAAGCTGTTGTCCAAGAAAGTCCCCTAGTCATTTGAAATGAAATGGCCAGAAATGGAGAGAGGAGGTCTGTGGGTGTTGGCTTTCTAGAATATGTTTCAGAGCTGGTCCTTCTAAATTTCTGTTGTATCAGCCCACAAGGTATGGGCAAGCATGCTCCTCCTCCTACCTCCAGCTACCTCCTCCTGTCATTCAGTGTAGTTGTCTGTGAGAAAATCCCAACAACTTATCTTTCCTTGTACCCAGTTTGAACAGTTGAATAGAATCTAAATCTCATTCCATAGACAATGTAAGTGACATGCTGCCCCCAAATGTCTGAGACTTTTAAAACATCTCTTTTTGTTGGCAGTGTTCACTGTGTTCCCATCACAGCACTGGAATCTGAGAGATGCTCTCCCCACCACTTGGTCTGGCTTGCCTTTGCACTGCTCCCATGAAGCACAGGGCAGGTGTGCTGCAACAGATTTGTAAAACAACAGCCTAAAACTCTAAAAGTTCCACCTGAAGTCTCTGTTTCCGCAGAGTAGTTTATGATGAATAGTTTGTGATGAACAGTGATTAGAGGTGGGAGACTGGTGTCACACAGCTTGAGTTTAAACAGAAGGGTCTTCTCTTCCAGCCGTGGTCATATGGCAGCTGGAGGCTAAAGTTGCTCAGAGGTGGTCTGTGAAGATGGGGGGGGATTTGTTTGCAGACTCAGCAGCACTAAAAAGATTGTGGTAGTTACAATGCAGGCAGAAAATGAAGTATATTCTGCCTTTTGGGTCTGTGGGCATATGAGAAATAAATCCCCTCAGCCCGGACATGTGCCACTGGTGTGAAACAGGGCTGACTCAGTCGCTTCATTTTTCAGTCTGGCGTGTTTAAATGTGGAGTGGGTGTATTGGTTACACTCTCAAAACCTCAATACGTACTTAAAAAACTGACAAGAGCTTTATTAAACGCTGTCTGGGTTCTGGTCCTAGAGGTGCTGTGATGCTGCAGGAGTGCACATTTTATTGTGAGTAACTGTAAGTGTGTCACTTCAACCTCCTCGAAGCGCTGCCACTGTATTTTTACCTTAAAACAGCACAGCTAACAGAGGAGTTAAGGATCACAGTGGTAACAGAAGTCATTTTCTTTCTCCTCTCCATCTTGAGTATCTGAACTGATCCTGTTTATCAGATCCTGCCATCAAAGGTTAATTTGCGGTCCCCTAAATGTTTTCTTTTGTGTGTGTGCCTTTTAGCTTGCAGGAGTCATTCAAAGGTTTAATTTAAGCACAGTGCTTTTTGTGTTAATTATCTGTTTGCACTTTTTCTCTGAAAAAAAACTGTACCTGTCTGTAGGGTGGATTGTCATTGGTGCAGAGAAGAGCATGCTTTGGGAAGCTCTGCATGAGAGCATCCAGAGAGGTCACAGTAAGGTCGCTCCGCATGTACCAGGAAATGATGCAAAACTAATCCAGATTTGCTGTTGGAAGGATCTGTTTACATAAGTATTTAAAAACAGATTAGGGCTAACCTGACACTAGATTACTGGGAGTAGTGTAAACAGTGCTGAAAGGCGTAAACAGAGCTTTTCCTTTTGTGCTCCGGAGGAAAAAATATGTCACCAGTAACAAGTTGCCTTGCTAGATGATGTATATGGTTTTCAGAGGCTGGACAGGTACCTTCAAATGGGGCTTTGTCTAGGGCTAGATCTCTTAGATCATATAATTGTATGTTAATTTTTGAAACGGGGAGTGGAGACGGTTGTTTGTAGTCCTCCTTATCCTGTAACATAATAGCATCCAGAAAGCTTTTGATAGTTATTTGACATTTCAGGAGGAAATGGTGGCTTCAAAGTACTGTTCTGATAGTTTGCATTTTGGAAAAAGAAACAGAAGAATCCTCCATAGGTCTTTTGCATTGGAAACATGACTCAGTTTTTGATAGAGGGAGCACCTCTGCAAGCAAGGCTGTGCCTTGCAGGGGTTGTTCTGCTGTGTGAAATGCAAGCCCAGGTGCAGGAGGGGTGGCTGGGAGTTGTCAGTGCCGTGCTGGTCACTTCAGGTTTCAAACACGAACATTTTATACATTTTCTGTACTGTGTTTTGCTGCACACCTTAACTCCAACGTGAACACTATCTGCCTGATTTATTTTCTTGCTTTCTTTTTGTTGATGGCTATTTGCTAGCATGCTGGTAGGCAGCAAAGCCAGGCCGGAGTGACGTATTCCCTTTGGCTTCTCTAGGGAGGAAAAAGAGCGCTGGATACGTGCAAAATACGAGCAGAAGCTCTTCCTTGCTCCGCTGCAGTGCCTGGAACTTTCTCTTGGCCAACACCTCCTGAGGGCTACAGCCGAGGAAGATCTGCGCACGGTCATCCTGCTCCTCGCCCACGGCACGCGGGAGGAGGTGAATGAGACCTGCGGAGACGGCGATGGGCGCACGGCCCTGCACCTGGCCTGCAGGAAGGGAAACGTGGTGTTGGTGCAGCTCCTGATCTGGGTGAGTCCTTGCTCATTGCACGCTCTATAAGGATGGTAGCTTACCCCCCTTTCGTCTGTTGCCATTGGTAGAAAGTAAACAACAGAATGAGGAAGGAGAGATTTCTTTAGCACCTATTGGAAATGCCATTTGAAATGCCTCGGTGACAAATTGTGTTCCAGCTGTAAGACCCTCCCCGTAGAAACCTTTCTGTGTGTAAGTCACCAGCGTTCTGCTCACTTCCCTCTCTCTCCCCTCCCTTTCACCAACCTCAGCTCAGTTCCAGCCTTCCTGGCCTGAGCTCTCTCCCTCTGCTGTAACTCTCTGTCTGCATCAGAGCTTCAGGTGGCGTCTCTTCTTTCTCCAGTACGGCGTTGACGTGATGGCACGCGATGCCCATGGGAACACCGCGTTGGCCTACGCCAGGCAGGCCTCGAGCCAGGAGTGCATTGACGTTCTCCTCCAGTACGGCTGCCCCGACGAGCGCTTCGTCCTCATGGCCACTCCGAATCTGTCCAGGAAGAACAACAACCGGAACAACAGCAGTGGAAGGATGCCCACCATCATCTGAGGAGCTCACTCGTGTATTCGCTGACCTGGATTACATCCGCGGCCTCATATTCCTCCATTCCCATCACGGCTCTGCTCTGTGAGTCCAATAACTTCCCTTTTCCCTTTACCCTTCGGTGCATCCCTGTCCCATCCAGAACCAGCACATCTGGATAGCACGAGGGGATGAGAAGGAGCGAAAGGGGCTGCAGAGAAAGCAGTTGTTTCAGTGACAGCTCTCGAACGATGGAAACGGGACAGCAGAAGCGTGCGAGAGCACGTGGGTTCTGTAGGACACGGCGCGTGGCACGGGACCATGGGGACAGTTGTCCCTGGGCACAGGCTCTACAAGTGCAGAAGGCAGGGGTGGAGGGAGGTGAGAGCGGGAGCGAGAGGAGAAGAAAGAAGAAATGGTAACTTTCCATAACTGACAGTTAAGCACATCAGTACATTTCACCTCTACCAAACGGAACGGCTGGATTTCATTCTCTTCTCTGAAGAGCTTGACGGCATAAATCAGAAGCAAGCACAGAGTTTGTCAGGTTTGAAGCTCCTATGATGGTATGTGTCAAATCAGTTGTAGCTAATCTGTCCAGGGAGAATACTGGCTTCATTACACTTGTATAGTTGAGTTCTTCCAGCATTACCGCTGTTTAATAGAACATGATTAGTCATCACGGAGAAAAAAGCATATTAGCTGAGGAGGTAGTTACATGGCACGCTTCGGTGATTGCTTGGATGTGATTGCAATATTCTTAGAAGCATCATATTATCTCAGACATGTTCTTTCGAGCCCTTGGAGCCCTCCTTTCTAAATTCACTGTCATAATTTAGTATCTGTTTAATTTTTCAGTCCAAAGAGAGGAAATGAGTTGCTGAGTGTTATTTGACTGCAGTCTCCTTGGTGTAAAAACAAAATGGAAAAAATAAATAAGAGTAACTATGAAACACAAAAAGGAATAATGAATACTGCTAAGGAAAAGCATTTCAAGTACGTTTAGTAAAATTAATAAATGCATTAAAGGCTAATATTTTTCCAGCCAGCAGAAATACGTTCTGTCATTTTGCCAAGGTAAACGTGTTGAGTTTTTGGTCACTCCTGTGATGCATTGCCTAACTTATACAGATTTTGTATTGTGTCTTTAGATTATATGTATGTAAAATCTATTTGAATAAAAAAATCATAAATATGCATTGATTTTTTTTTTGTACAGAAAATGACACCTCTGTTAATTTATAAACTGTAATGGATGTGAACTAAATAATGTGCAACTAGTTAGGATCTGTGGATTCCGGATCACTGTATGTTGAAAATATCCCCAGCAGTGAACTCTTGTTTCCATTGCAAGCCTTTGAGGAACATATCAGAATGAGATTATGGCACGCTTGGCATGAAAAAAGTATGTATATATATATATGAGACCGTTTAGAAAGGAAAAGAGGCTGTTTCTCAGCGCTGTAAATATATTTTACTTCAGAAGTCACGACGCTTTCACAAGCCAAGATGAAAAGCCATAGTCTGGATGCGTGCAGATCAGATTGGGTTAGTTTCAGGATTGATAGCCTTCACCGAGGCGGGCAGGGCATGGCTGCCCTACCTCTGAACCTGGCTGCTTTCTGGGAGAAAAAGGGCTTGTTGAAAGGAGCCTGGGCAGTTTGTTTGAGTTCCAGGTTTTACTACTTGACTTGATTTTTATTGTTTTATTATTATTATTATTGTTTGTATTACCAGACTGATCCTGGCTTGTGCCATTTGCTTCAAAACCAGGTTTCTGACACAGGGAAGCAGGCTGTATGATTTTTTGGCTGACCAAAAAGTAGTTTTTAAGTGGCATATGGCAATGTGGAGATGGGGGAAGGGTGTATCACGGAGAAAGTTGAAAACTCAACTGAATTAGATGGCAAAGGAGCAATTATGTGAAGTCAGTGAGGTGCACACAGCACAGTAATTTGGAAATCTACCTGCTCCTTATGTATTTCCCAAGCCTTCAGTGTTGTTTTTCCTTGGGGCTCTGTATTTTGCTTGACATACGAATGGGAGGACGATAGCAATTGCTGAACAAAATATAGGTCGACGCAAAATGAGAAGGAGAAAAATTATTCTGAGTATCTTAAGGAAGAGAGAGAAAATTACAGGTTGGGTATCAAATCATAAAGCTTGAGAATACTGACTGGCTTTCCCTGTTCTGTGCTGTTGTCGTTCCGTACTTTGATACTGTACTGACCTCTGACCATAGAGGGGGTCTTTCTCCATCCAGCTTAGACTGGCTGCATCAGATTAATGCTACATCTGATTCTGTGCACGCTAGGATTTTTTTATTTTTTTATTTTTTTTTAACTTTTGAGGGATAATTGCTATTTCTCCATCGTTCCCATGCAGCTCTGATAGTGATGGGTGGTCCCTCGGTGACAGGACGGCCCGTTGAAGGTTCAGCTGAGTGGGATGCTGCAAGCCCCCGTGTCTTGGTGCTCACAAGCTTTCCACCCGTTCCAGGGGGCATGGTGTAAACTGGGGAAGTGCAGCACATGTTCCCAGAGGTGCAGGCTGCCTGCTGTTCCCCTGGGAACAGCCAGCGTGTTTCTCTTGGAAAATCAAGTCCAATGTTTCAAATACGTTGTAGGCAAATTTTGCCGCGGTTAAGTTCTCAATGCTTCTTCCATTTCAGAGCTTATTTTTTGTCCTGATTGAAAATATTTTCTGTACATAGGTGAAGTGTTCTCTTTAGGCCACCTTTCTGAGTGTGAGATGTGAGAAGCAAGGACAGCAGCCAGGCTGTCGTGCAGGCTTCGGGTAGAAGAATTGTACGCTCCTTTCATTAGAAGAATTCTGCAGGTGAACCTTGGAAAACAGGATTTTTTTAGGAAAGGAACTTCCGCTGTATTATAGGAAAAATGATGTATCAAGCCTAGCCAACTAATAACCTCATACTTTAACTAATCCGTGACACAGTTGCTTTTAACTTAAACATAGCTTTTCCTTGGACGTATCAGCATTGGCAGTGATGATGTCAAAGCAGTGCTCTCATGGGCCGTGCTTGGCTTCCCCAGGGAAAAACTCCATCAGCCGAGCCCCGCTGTCCTTGGCTTCGTGCCGTGAGGTTTCGGGACTCCGTGCTCTTTCCAGGCGGATGCGTTTGTGCTTTGCAGAGGGTGTTCTTGAAGCCATCCAGGTGCAGAGACAGGCAGGCTTTGAGAACCTGCAGCAGTTGTTCTGTCTTCTAACCTGTCCATTTTCAGGTCTTCGTTTTGCCTTCAGCCCCCCCTCTTGTTGCTTTTACGGAACCCACTTGTCGGACTGCTTACGCCCCTTCGAGCACGTGAGGAGCAAATTGAAAACGAATTGAAATCCAGTCAGTAAGAAATCCCAGCAGAAATGCACTGACTAAATCCGTTAGCGTTGTCTGAGGGAATGGAGATTGTGGCCGTGTTTCTCACCGTTGAACCCTTTTTGTGATCCCAGATCCTTTTAAATCCCACTTCCTCTGCACTTTATCCACCGTGACTAAAACACTAGATGGAAGTGTTTGCTGTTAACGTCAGCACTTTTCTTCTATTTCCATCAGGCTAATTGCTGTTGAAGAGCAGAGGTGAGCCAAATGCGTTGAATCTGGCAACTGAACCTTCACCTGCCAGGAGTTCAGGAGGGTTTTACTTATTCCTCACTATTTTCTTGGGAAAATATAGTCTTGCCAGTTCAGAGATTTGGCCAAGGGTTCCCATTGCCAGATTTCTGGTTTCGTTGCTAAAAGGGAGCAGAAGGAAAGCTGTTTCTGGAGAATCTTGGTATACCCCAAGCTGAGGAGACCAAAAGAGCTAGTTGAAAGGAGGAGAGGGTTTGTAAGCATTTCTACTTGGGTGTAGTGTATAATAACCGTGTAAACATGAATACTGTTTACTCTGCTGTCTTTCCCCATTTCCTTAAATTATGTGTGTTAGTGCACGGAGCTTTAGCTGCACTTGGAGATTTCCCCTGGCAAGAAGAAGCTGTGTAATGTAAAGAAGGGAATAGAGGTGTGAGTGCAGATACATTCTTAGCAATGATCTCCAGCACTGTAATGTAGTATAATTAGATGATACAGTTTTCAGATAGCTTCATCTTTTATATTTGTATGGAGATCGGGAAAAATGAAGTAATTTGTAGTTTCTAGTGTAAAGTAGTAATAGTGGAGACAAGCACAGATTTCACAGAGGGTTCCTTAGGGCCCTTCACAAATGTCTCGGGGAGCCGTGTTTGCACCTTAACAGGGAACGGGTGTTGGTTGTACTTGGAGGTACCCAAGGGGAAGAAGGAGAGTGCTGGGGACCAAACGTGGGGCACTTGGTCTGGATGCATGAGGACTTGCCCGTTCACATTTCATCATCAGGACGCTTTGTTTTATCCTTCCTACAGCTGTTAGCACACGGGAGATCTCTGTCTGTTAGTCTCGGATCCTCTGTTGAACATCTTCCATTTCAGGCCATTCGTGGGTAAGATTTCTTGTAGGACATCTTTGGCTATTCTTGTGTTTGCTGCATTGCAAACTCAATGCCACAGATTAAAAGGGTCTGCAAAGAATTTTGACTTGTAAGTTACCAAAACCAACAGTGGTTTAAATGGTTTTATTAGAAGGACATCTCCTGTTTGAACAAGTATGGAATAGAGCAAACAATCCAAAGCTGTAGGTAGGTAAATCTGTTCTAGTTTTTGTTTGCTTTTTTTATCATGGGCCAGTTTTTAAAGTGAATATTTGGTGATTTCATCTCATAGCGGTTCCTTTGAGTTGGCTGAATATGTCCTGCATTTTCAACAGGGGGTAGGAGAGTTTTGGCTGAGATTCTCAGAGCTGTCAGTAGGTCTCATTCTGAGGGAAGGGTTGCATGATCTCTGAAAATGAGATGGCTTTTTTCAGTGCCACCCTCAGCCCCAAACCACTACTCATGCTTTTGGTGATCTTGGCCCCTGTGTTTCATTTCAGGCTGAATAAACTCCCACAGTTTGCTCTTGTTCCCTGAGTGCTTGGGGGACTTTTCTTGGGGGCAGACAGAGGAAAAATCTTTCCATCTTCATGCTTTTCACCTCTCTCAATCCCTGCAGCGTATTCAGGCAGTAGCGGTCGGTCCTGCTGACGTGCAGTGCTTCAGCTTTCTCTTGGCCATGAACTTCGGGGCGTGTATTTGCTTCCAGTCCTAAGAGTTGCCTATTTTGCGATGCTTTGGAGCTAGTAATGTTTACCTGTGTGTTATGTACAAAGCGTGAAGGGGGGTGGGGGGCTTATCAAGGTCTAATGGCATGCCTTTGGGATGACCGTGTTGCTTGCTGGCAGTTGAATGCACCATCCGCTCTTTTGTGTGTGCCACGTTCTGCAGAACTGATCAGTGTGTTTTGCTTCTGAGAACTCATCCTTCTGTCCTTCCCACCTCCCTCTGCCTGTTGTTAGGGTAGCTAAATAGTGTGAGGGCAACTGAGTGGGAATCTCAGAGCAGCCCCGGTGCCTCGTAGGAAGCTGGAAGCGTGGTCTCTGATTGCCAGATGGAGGGAGTGATGCTGTGCTGAAGGCAAGCCCCAAGCCCGGGCAGTACTGAGGAAGGCTCTGGGTGCAGTTTGTCAGCTAGTTCCCACATCTAGAAGCTCGGTGATGGAGCTGAGTTGGTCATCAAGTGCAGTGAAGTCCTAAGGTAAAGCAGTGTATTGCATGGATGTCGCTAACCAGATTAACTAAAAGTGCTTTGCATTTGTGTGTGTGTGTATGTATACACATATGTGCTCAACGTACCTCTATCAGCCATCCTCTAAGAGTCCACACACACATTTACACATCAGTCACAGCCTGAAGCTGGAGCCAGGTTTTCAGTTTGGTGTTTATAAATGGGCACGTTTCCCAGTTTGGCTCAGGCCAGCCATTTCCAGGAGTGCAGGAGGGCTGCACGGTGCCACACAGGGCAGGGAGATGCAGGAGCTGGCTCTGGAAAGCTCAGGGTTTACAAAGATACCTGGCTCAGAGCAAAAATTGAGCTCATTCAGATGGCAACAACTCGAATTCTGAAAGTGGGACTGAACTGGCCGCTTTGCCTGGGATGGGAGCTGCAGCCCAGCTGCCTGTGGGCACGGGGAGGAGACGTGGATGGGGCTAAGGACATAACACTTACTTCCCAGAGGCCCTATCTTTTTTATAGGTTTGCTCAAATTTGCAGCTGAATTTAAGCATGGGCTCAGCGACTGCCCTCCTGCAGCAGATCCAATGGTGTTTTGGGTCCTTCCTGCATCCACAGCATTACAGGGGAAGGAGACGTGGTGAGATGTTGGTGAGGAGCAGGGCACCTCCTCATCCTTACCCAGGTGTCTGTGGACATGGTGCTTTGAGGGAGCTATAACCATCAGCTGACATGTGCTAAGCCCTCATGTGAACCAGACAGCGCAGGGAAGCCTGTGTGCTCACAGCATCTCTACTCTTGCTTTCAGTTAAGCTCATACTGGTGGGCAGCTTGGGCCAGGGTTCAGCACATCCTTACGGGCGCTGCCAAATCCAGGGCTCATTGGGAGAGGCAGAACTGGGCTCAGATGCACAAAGGTCACGGTTGGGTGTCAGCCATCACCACCAGGACGTGTGCCCCATTTCTCCCCTTACACCCACGACTGATGCAAAGGCCGGACTCGGTGTTTAGGGGTGCTCAGCCCAGTGTCGTTGCGTTCTTTTTGCTTTGTGATGCTTGTGTTTCTGGTTAGGACAGGGAGGAAGGGCACCCAGGTGAGTAGGGTCGCCTGAGAACTGCGTTTGGGGTAGAGGCAGAGATACCTAGCACATGGCAGGCTTTAGAGCAAGGTTTGTTTGGGTTGGGTTGGTTGTTTTTTTTTCTGTTTCTGTAAATAGTAATGTATAAATGATGACGAGACAGTGTGGAAATTATTAAAAAATACGTCTTTGGTTGTTGTTTTTATATTACCTCATTCAGCAAGTTTGTTTTACAATGACTCGATGCTTTATTTATATTGTTTGTACTGTAATTAAAACGATTGATAAACATTTCACTTTGCTTGTTGTTTCATATGATTTTGTTTTGATTACGTATGCCAGTTTGTATTATGTTTCCCTTTCCTCTCTCTTTGCATTGAGGTTTTCGTGTCAGCTGTACAGTATTCCGAATTAAACAACAACAAAAAAAGCAATTAAAAACAAACAAGTTGTAAAGTACCACAGAGGGAGACTGCTATACTGTATGGTCTCTTTCTAATAAAGACAAGAAAACTTGTTCGTCACAGCTCTGTTCTTTGCAGTGTTATTGAGGGACACCTGCCCCAGCCCTGCTCCACCAGTATTAATGATGAGATACTGTCACTCCTCGCCAGCAATAAAGATGAAGTATGATCCGAGACCTGGGATGTCAGAAGAGCTGGGAATGGTGCAAATTGATAAATTAAAAAGCAATAAGTCACCGGACTGTAATGGTGTATATCTAAGAGTTCTGAAAGCGCTTATGAACTAAGTGACAGATCTCCCAGCAAAAATACGTGGGCTTTCATTAAAAACAGCCCTTCTCCCCGAGGAGGGGAGAGCAGTAAACGTTGCACCTCGGCTTTAAGAGTCTCTGGAGGAGATCCAAGGAATTAGGCCAGTAACGGTTACATCTGTATCTGCTAAATTGGTTGAAATGATCATTTAAAATAAGAATAATAAAGCATCTTTAAGGTCATGGTATGGTATGGTCTAATCACTTCTTTGAAGGAAAATCACGGCTCTCCATTACGATTCCGTGAGCGCCAAGCGAAGGGCAACCGGTTGACTTTTATTTACATTTGCAAAGATCTCTGCCCCTGCACCATGAGAGGAGATACAGGGAATCTCAGCAGGCCCGAAGGGTGCTCTATAACAGCCCTTGTGCAAGAAGACTGTGACCAGAGCTGCTCTGGGACGGAGGGAATAGCGAGTAACATCCAGTCTTTTCTTCTTCAGCCCATTAATGGGATAAAAGAGGTGGCTTCACATGCAGTGGGGATGAAGAAAAATGGAGGAGCTGAAGATCCGTGAGGATGCCGTGAAGAAGTTGGGGATGTTCAGGAATGAGGTTGGAGGAGCGGGGAAATTCCTTCTAGATGAGATGTAAAGAGGGGGATGTGGCAGCTATGGAATAAACTGTGGAGAGGAGCAGATGGGGAACACTCCAGGTTGGATATTAGGGGATATCTCAGGAGGAGCAGTGCTGCAGTGACACAGCTGCCCATGGAGTGGTGGAATCACCATTCCTAGAGGTGTTTGATAACAGTGAGGATGTGGCACTGAGGGATGTGGGCATGGTTGGAGTTGGTCAAGGTGAATGGTTTTGTGATTCTATGACCTTTTCCTAATCCAATGACCAACACGGGGGGTCTGATTGGGGTTTGGTGAGGTTTCCTCTTTCCTGCTTTTTAATTCTCAGTGCTCCTAGGAGGCCGCACCAGCAGTGGTGGGATGAAAAACAGCAGGACGGCTTGTGGTTTGTTGTTTTTTTTTCCCTTTTCTGTGTATTTTGGGTCTACATCACTGTTCTGTCATGCAGCAACTGTCCCGCTTTGTTCTTGCAAGGTTTTCCACCATGTTTGACCCCATCATGTGTCAAACCATCACCCAAGCAGGAGGTGGGTGCTTTTTGCATTCTACCTTTCAATGAAGGGACTTGGAATTTTGGATTCCTCAGTGTGTAAAGCTGTGGAGCCACTTCTCTCAGCCATCACCAGTCCTTCCCTTGTAAGGGGTGCAGTGTTTCATTTGGTGATGGGCATGGCTGCCTGTTCCTGCTAACCACCTCCTGGGACCCGGCTGCCCACAGGAGATGCAGGCACTGGAGGGGGGGGGGGGGGGGGGGGGGAGGCTGAGCAGCATTACAGCTCTTTCATTTCATTTCTCACCTACCCCAAACCCACCCCCACGCGCCCCTGGAACATTCTCAGCTGGTGGCATTCACAGATGCCTGAGAAGAAAAGGAAATATTCTACTAGAAGGCAACAGAGGTCGGAAAGAGATTTTGAAGGTAAACTATTGCCTCCATTAATAGGAGCAGGGGGACCCCCCCTTTTTTTTTCTTTTTTCTTTTCTTTTTTTTTTCTCTCTCTTTTTTTTTCAAAGAACAAAGCAGTAATTACTGTGGGGACCAGACTGCCATAAGGCCTTGCTGTGTGTTTCCACCCATGCCTACAAAGGCTTTGCTTTGATGGATCCTGGGAGCAGTCACTCAAGAAACCTGTTCCGGAGCCCAAAGACTCCTACATCGGAGGTACTGCATGCTGTTAGCTCTCATTTAAAACCATCCCCTTGTCTGTTGTGCTGTTTCTTACTCATTTTTGGCCACGCACCACCCACTGCCTCACCGCATCAACATCCACTGTTTGGCCTCCATCAAGCAGTGGTGGTCAGCAGGTGCCATTTGTTTCTGCATGGAGGAATTCAGTGACACACCTTCGCTTCCCGTGCATTTCCATGTCAGGTGCCATTCTGTCAGCCTCTGCTGCCATCAGTCGCACGGCAACAAAACATCATGGGTTGCAGTGGGAAGGTTCAGCCTCTACTGCTGTACGACCAGCATCCACCTCTGATGCTGTGGGCTGACACCATAAAACGGGAGGCATTACTTCCAGAGCAGCCCTTGTAGTCGCATAAAATCAGGTAGAGGAGCCTCAAATCAATCAGAAATCCTCACCATGAGGTACTTTCCTCCAGATGTTGCCCCCCACCAGCTCAGGCTGCCCGGGGCCCTATCCATGGCCTTGGGCACCTCCAGGGTAACCCACAGCTCTCTGGGCAGCAGTGCTGGGGCCTCACCGCCCTCTGAATGAAGAATTTCCCCCAGAAGGTGGCTTTGCAGTGCACAGCTTGCACGGTTTACCAGCAAGGGATTGCATGGCGTCCGAGGGAAATGCAATTACTGCTGGGGAAACCTCCAGACGTGCCGTAGGAAAACCACAAACCACTTTGTATCAGCAATAGGACTGGAAAACCCACCAGGCAGTAATTTATCTCGCCTAATGTCCAGTAAAGCCCTTAATTGGCCAATAAATGTGGCCGCAATAACTGCACTTGACATGCAACGCTGCTGCCAGCAATTAGCACGTATTTATTTGCATACTGCCCTGACCAATCTGCGCTCCTCCATTTCTGGATCTGTTTGTTTTTAAGCCAGGGAGGCTCCTTGTGTTGGCCAAAGAGAGGATGAGGAGAGCCAAAGGGATCGGAGGAGCAGGCCCACTGCCCGCATCCCTCAGTGCCACGTCCCCTTGGCTCCTGAACACCCCCACGGATGGTGACCCCATCACCACTCCCTGGGCAGCTGTGCCACTGCATCACGGCTCTTTCTGAGAAGAAATTCTTCCTAATATCCAACCTGAGCCTTCCTTTGCACGAGCACGGGTGGCTGCATCCCCATGGGGACACAGAGGCTGTCAGCTGCCCCATCTGAGTGAGCTCCTCTGGGCGCTGTGAGAGCAGATTTTGGTGCAGCCCTTCCTCCATACCTCGCCTATTGCTCCGCACATCCACCTGGTAACGGGCAGGCTGATGGACTGCCGATTTCCCTGTAACTGAGCTTAATTAGCAAGCTAATCAGGTCTGGAGATGGTTCCAATTTATTTATTGGCTGCTGCGCCGAGGTTCACGCCAGGTGAACAAATATGATGGGATTTTCCCCATCTCCAGCACCCGGAGCACCCCCTTCTCAGCTCCCTCCGGCCACTCGAGGGCATTACAAAGGGGGGGTATTTATTTTGCCAAAGTGTGGGGTGAGATGAAAGGGAAGAAATGGCAAAGCAGCCGGAGAAGGCTCTGAGCATGGCCAAACCCACTCTCGGCTGCAGCATCCCTCCCTGCAGCCCCACAGGGGTGTGCAGCCCCAGGACTGTGCATCCCTCCCACTGGGTGTGAGAGCTGAGCTACACAGGGAGAAGGGGAACACGAGGCATGAGGGCCTGGAAGACCTCAAATAAGGCAGCACTACGGGAGAGGGGCTTTTCTGCACCGTCCCTCGGAGACCGCTCACCGAATGGAGACAGTTATTAGAGGGAGTAATTGGGATCAGCTCGCTTTACAAATGTTACTTTGCAGAATGAGGCAGGAAGACAGATCGATCTCAACTATTATTCATTAAGGAAAGTCCTTTATAAATCCCAAATTAACAATTTCTCTTAGAGAGCCTTCCTATTACCCTTCTTTCTCAGGAACTTATTGCCACTTTGGAAATGTTGAAATATGAAAATAATTGGGGAGGGGGAGAAAGAGCAGTTGTGGGCTTCAGAGCTCATTCATCGGTGGGAAAAATAAAGAATATAGCCATGTGCCTTAAAATCAGCCCTTATTCAGGGTGGTAACATCCTGATAGATGGCATCAGACCACAGCCGCAGCATCGCTTGGAAGAGCCCAAGCCCCGAGTTCTCCTATCGCTCTGTTAATCGATGGGATGGGAGCATCACAAACTCTCCATCCCTCCGTCCTTTAGGAACGCAGCCCCTTGGTGCAGCTCCTGAGCCCGAACGGGGCTGCTCAGAGCCGGAGGAAAGTTCTGCGAGCGGCTTTGCAGAGCCGGAGGGAGGGCGAGATGGGATCGGGTCAGTGTAATCCTGTTTTATCCATTGTAATTCAGGCAGGCAAGGAGACCTCAAACTATAGGGGAAGGGGCTTTGAGAACCTCAGCGGCCCTGCCACAAAGCCGGAGGCTGAGGCCGGGACAAAAGCTGGAGAGAGGATGAAGTGGCTCGAAATAAATAGATTAAGGCTCTCTATGGGCCGGGCGTAGCAGGAGGGAGAAAAGAGCAAGCGAGGGGCGGCCGGGGGGCAGGAGGGGACATGGGGGCTCGGCTGCAGGACCCCAACCTCTAGGAGGGAATTTGTCCTGGGCCCGGTGGGATTTCCCCATCTCTGCGCTGCTGCATCCCGTACACAAACAGTTCTGAGTGTTTTGGAGCAGCAATCGGGCTTTGCGAGGCAATTTGTAATTCATACAGGTTGTCTTCCTGCATACGGTGTTGCTTTGGCACGTTGGGGTGCCGGCTGCTTTACGAGGGAGACGGAGTGCTTTGCATCCACTGCTGCTTGCCGGCCCGAAAGGGTTGTGGGTGAGGATGGGACTGAGCCCCATTCATGGCAGCTGACCCCACAGGGGGATCCCCCATAGGGCACATTGCGTACCTCCTGGGGATGGAGGAGGGGGTTGCTTAGCTCTGATGCCCTCAGCAGCTTCTGCAGCCCCATGTGGGCACCCGGGGGCTCCTGCAGGCTGGATAGGCACTCCCCCCATC